GAAAGTGACATTATGGTTATTGAGATTTCTACAGTAGGTACTTAAACGTGTTAATGTCGAAATCGCTGCTAATGACAATAATTAACGCACTAATGAGAATAATTTCGCACATCAGAATCAGGATAGATGATGTAGAAACTAAATGCCTTATGGACAAGAAAATACTTGACATTCCACTTGCCACAAGCACAACAAGCAAATCAAGATTATTCGTACTGTAAAATAAATTAATTTTCAGAAGACTGCACGGTATGCTGCTGAGATATAACGTTGCAGATGCCACAAATTGGATGGTAATTATTTTAGACGTTTATACAATATGCGAGCCTCTCCAGAGATGTAATGAATACAAAATTCAGTTGTCACAAATAGCACGTTAATAACATCAAATGAAATGCTGTAGGTAAATGGATTCTTGTTTGACGTTTTTGTTCCTAAGTGGCTTGATTATTATTTGTAAAGTGTAGTGTAATAGTACATTATATATCAAGGTAGAGAAGTCCACTATTATTGCCTGAGCACCAAGATTACATCTCGAGGCGCTTGCGCCGAGGGGTGTAAGGTGCGAAGGCAATAATAGATTTTCTCTACCGTGGTATATATACTATTTTTTTCACTACTAGCACTTGAAATCCTCTAAATTAACATATTATATTGATAAGAGAGTTAACGGTTGGACAGAATTGTTTGTTTCTTAATTTAACATGTCAATCAAGTACGTGGAAGTACAAGTCAAACAGGCCGTATTTTGTTCTGTCATTGAGATTTTTCAAAGAGTAATTTCGTTCGAATTTTTTCAAAATGTGATAATTTTAGGTATGTAATTTCTCTGGAAATTGCGAATGGTTGCAATTATTCGTTTTAGAGAACTTGTCTAAACGTTCATTGAGCGAAATTTCGGGTTGTGTTTTCTAAAAGTGACAGCGTGACAGTTCTCATTATTGACTACTAGTTAATAATGTCCACATTATTAACCACTTTGAACAATTGCCGAGAAAGCCTACTTTACAAGTGGAAAAAAGGTTAATAATCATGTCATCAGACGCTAGTAGTGAAAAAAGTCATATATTAAACAACTACTTAACCGATTAGTGTGTTCAAATGTTCATACATCATAACGAAATACATGAAATTTACGCAAAAACGATATTATCATGAACCATAATCACTGATAAAAATTTTTAAGGGCTTAGGAAATAAATGATACTGTCATCCCCCTATTCACCACTGAAATGAGTTCAAAAGACCACAAAAACTAGACTGGTTTGTTTTTCACACAATTTTTAAATGACACACTCGACTTGCCCAAATTACCAAAGACTCTAAATCTACTGGTTTCGTAAACACAAGTGGCAGAATTTACACACATACTCCGAGACATATTCCTTAAATCTAAAATTAAACTTTCCCCCCAAAACTGCCTCAAATAAATCTATCCACAACATAATCGATGTAAAATTTATTCCTTTTGCCATTCTTTAATGTAGGTCGGAACACTTGCGCAAAATCTCGACCTTCATCTTTTAATCTTAATAGAGTTCGCGCCTTGATATATATCCTACTAGGTCTTCCATTTTCGGCTTTAGCCCTGAAACTGTACTAGTTCGATCTTCATTGGACACCTTTGAACAGTTTTTGGCCAATCCCCTAACAGTGTGCAGTGCGTTTTGTTACTACAACTACATAATTTTTAGTTTCTTCTTGGAAGTAAAAAAAATCTCCTTACACTCCATGGACATGTAACAAGGTCTTTGTTCTTTACTGTTACTGTAAGTAGTAATAACCAATGCGTTAATGCAGTTCTGGATTAGAAAAGTGCGGTTATATATTTTGAGTCTATTAATATTACAACCATCAATTCATTTTTTGTGGTTTTGAAGAGAACGATTCGAAAATCATACATATGGGCATGGCTACGTATAGGTACACTGTAAGCAAAACTGCAAGGCAATGCCGGTATCAGTTTGATAGAAGACCTTTTGCCTAACCTGAGACAATGGGGGTTAATTAGATGTGTGAATTTAGAAATTTCATCTAACCTCTAAGTGAGTATAATTAACAGTAACTAATTAAATGAGTTGCAGAAACAGCATCCGATCCGAACTCGTGAGTGGTCTCAAAAGAAACGCTATTAATGGTTTCGAGTTTTAAGACCAATTACAAATTTTTATGTTTATCGCAGATCCCGTAATTAATGAGAGAAGTTTTAATTTTTGGATGTAAAAAATCGAATACGATGTGTAGGCTGAAAAAATCGTCGATCCCGTCATGAAGAGGCCAAATTTTTTTAAAAGTTTACAGTTTACAATTTACAGTTTACAGCCTGCAGTTTACAGTCTACAGTTTACAATTTACAGTCTACATTTTACAGTCTACAGTTTACAGTAAGCCGTTGTTTAGTGGCGATCTTTTTCCCTTTGGTGTTGTAACCGAAACGTAGACAGTTTTTGGAAATTTTTCACTGCACTCGCGTTGTGCGCTGTAATTTTAGTTTTAGCATTTGCCGGTAGCCGACCGCCGCTTGCCCTTTAGAATTCTTCGGTTGCGTTTATCCGAATCTTCCGAGGCCGACCCGGCAGACCGCTGCTACCGCCGACCTCGACCAGGAGCGAAGCCGCTAGAGTCCGTCTGTCCGTTCGTTCCGCCGACAGAACACCCAGGTTGCTGCCGACTGCCGCTACTATTAATTAATTGCCCAAAAGTTACTAAATTTAGTAACTTTTGCGGATGTAAATCAGACTTTTCAATATACTCCTCTTAGTTTAAAAACAGAGTATAGGTACTATAACTTGCATATTTTTTAATTTATTTTTCTTTTACATTGAATTGTAATTATCATCCTACTAATGATTCTTTAATTTTTCATGCACTTGTGTGCGAACTTTCCGGCAAAGTTCGTTGCAGCATTTTCACTCAAAAGAGAACTAATTACACTTTACAGCTACTATATCAAATCGCACGTAAGAATTGTACGTGGTGGCTCTTTTTTCTTCACCGCAAAATTTTGCAAATACCCGTAATAAAATTTATCGTACCCAAAATGCCACGCGCGTGCTTCTATAACTTCGCTAAGAATTCAATTTCAGCGTACATAAAATGGTACGCGATGGTTCGCGAAACTCAACCTGCATTTTCGTCACGCGCTCGGTTTTAAAGAAAACGAAACGAAACTTTTAAAAAGATCGTGGCAACCGCGCTCGCTTTCCGTAATACATTCTTGTTATCGCCAGACATACCTTTTTCCACGCCCGCTATGCAGCGGTACATGTGTAAATTTTCCTATGTTGAACAAAATACTGAGATGACTACTGATGAATACTAAGAGATGAGGTAGGTTTGTTAGGTCCTAGAAGTATTCGGTGTAACGTACCCAAAAACGGGAATGGTAATATTCCGAAAACTCCACCGTAGGCGTAACACACAATATTAAATTAAGTCCTGCTAAACCGGGAGCTAAGTTCGAGACATAGCTATCTAAAACAGTAGACCTGAAGACACACCAAAAGGTGCTGACAAAATTCCAAATTCAGAAGAATTATAATACGAACATCTTGATTAAATTAGTACATTTCCACAATGTCATTTACCAGAGACGAAGAACAAAGTTAGATTACATTTGTTGCTTCTGGCACATAAGATGTAAACACTTGTTCGATATTTGCGCTTCTAAGATCCGTGAACGACCAATAATGCGGAAATTATGAAGAGTTTATTTTATAGTCCAGTCAAAATTAAATAGATGGAATATAGGAAACCAAGGAAATGTGGTAGGAATCCTTCACTCTCATAATAGATTAAAGTATTATGACAACAGGAAACTTAAACTGGTTCTGATTACCCAAATTTTACTCCTAATCATAGTCGTCAGTTTACAAGAGTTTTGGTATGGATTTCGCAATCACGATACTTTTTTACTAAACGTTTTGTACTTTGAGGAGTCCAAAGAAATTAACAAGTGTATGGGCCACCGTTTTTCACATTAGTTTCAATGGATGCCGCGCCTTAGCGTGACTTGTTCTTGGATAAAGACATCATTTGAGTATGCTAACACTAGAACATGCACGACTCATGAGTAAGCCACCCTGACGATGCATAATCAAAAAGTGCCAACGGGGTGACATTCCATTTGATATGGTACTGGCTGGGCCCAGTTTCAATTCGCTGCCATTCGGTTTATAAATGACTGAGTTAACAACAGGCTAAAAAATTCACAGATTTCGCAATCCATGCAACCATCGCACCAAGCGCATTTCCCGATTAATAGTCTTTTTGTAACAAATAAAAAAAATCGTATTGCGCATGATCAACATAAATTTTTTGGCGCCTACATACAAAATTTCATGCAATTCGGTTCATAACTAACGGAGATGTCAAAAGGGTCTTTCTTATTTTTTCTCGTACGTTGCCACTCATGAATTCCGATCTAGAAATTTGATAAAGAATCCACCCGCAAAATTTCATCGCAATCGGTCCATCCGCTCTCTTATAAATCGATGGACATGAAGCCATCGAGCGACCGAGCGTGCAGACGATTGAAGCGTCTCTCTTAAAACTCGACGCAAAAATACAGGGATACCTACTAGGTTTTTAAAAGTTTCGCAAAAAGCCTAGTCATTTCGTGAAACGGTAACAATTTCAGGTGTGTGGTACTTTTCCTTCTCCTTGTAGATCTACAGGGGATGCCATTTATCGATCTGGAAGGGGAAGGAACCCAATCGCTTATCCCTAGAAAGTACACTGTGCCACAGTTTCACCAAATGACAAAATACGAGTATTATATCGAAGTAATGAATTACTATTGTACGGTTCATTACAGAAACGGAAGGTACAAAAATTGACTATTACCATTGAATACATTATATTCAAAGCTATTACCCATTTTGCTAGACTGTAGAGACATCTAAGTTTTACAATTGAAACTACTGAAAACAATTCTTGTCATATAATTCACACTGCTACTAACTACTTAGAATTCAATATTAATAGAATAAAATTCTTACCTTTTGATAATCAAAGCCATGCTTAATCTTTTTCCCATTCATATTAATTGAGTAGTTGTAGTACTTAGAATTCATGATCAATCCACCCCATTCCCTCCAACCGGGCGGAATGTATGACCCGTTATACTTGTTCAAGTATTTCCCAAAGTATCCTGTAAAGAATGTTAATTATAACATAAAAGTTCAACTCGTTAAAGATGTAGGTATGTAAAACTTGTGGTTGCGGTAACAACTCGCGTTAATCTCGTTATGCGTTAGGGGAAGCGATAAATTTGCGTATAATTTCTGCAAGAGCTCCGGTAAGGAGAGAAATTAATTGCCGAAATCGAGCAGAATAAATGAATCAGTAAATTTTCCCGCATGTTTTATTACAAATAACGATTAATCACCTACTTTAAATGGTGCCTAAAATTGCTTTTCTAAAATCGAGGGATTGCGAGGTTTAATATAACTTGAGAATTGATTACAGGTTTTCCGATGAGGCAGTATTAACCCCGTTTAAGGTAAATTTAATCTAACGATATTTTGATGGAAAGAAAAACTTCAATTGTAGAATTTTAAATCCTACATCGATTCGCGTTGGTATATACATCCAGCTTCAAAGTTTCTGCTAAGCGGTATCGCTTTTCTATACTCTTTCAAAAAGTTGTTTGTAAAACTTTTGTACCCTTAATCTCAATTTATTTATTGTGATTCTTCCATGTGCTATCTTTAGGTACTACAATTTATTTACAATTAATAAAAATTCGTTCACAAAGGTGATAACGAAACAAGTTGTAAATCAGCATAATACCGGGTGATCCAAAATGACTGCACGACAGTTTGAATTTGCCGCGAAACTAAACATTTATAAAGTTGGTAACATACCAAATGTCGTATTTATCTATACCAAATGTCGTATTTATCTATTTATTTAAAGTTGCAACTCATTTTTTACCACATAGTAGTTACAGTGGCACCAAACTCAGAAAGTCCCTGACAGGGCATATCCGAGGGCGCTAGAAATTTAGACCGTACATTCTGATGCAAAATTTAAAAACACTTTAAGGGAATTACCTACCTTATCAGATCGTAGATCCAAGCTATATGCGTCTTGAAAAAGACGAGTTTGTATAAAACTGGAGACAGAAAACGTAAAATAAAGCTAATACAAGAAGACAAGTGTGCAACTAAAATAACGTGAAGCGTCAACTGTCAAAACGGAATAATTAATAATTATGGCGCGAAATGTAACGCGTCATTTAGCAGACTTTCTATTGGCCAACCTAAATTATTTCAAAATTAGTTCGCATATTTTCCGGGGTTTTTCTGAGCATGGTGGCACTGTAGTATGAATGTACAAGGTACAAGCTTACGCAAACCTAGTATAAAAAATCACATAAAAAACACCCCCAATGGATGGCCATTATTGCATAAATAAACCACCTTCCAAACATGTTTGCCAATGCCTTAAGTATAAAACACTAAAAACACTAGGCGCCAAATTTAAACTGTCTGCAGCTATTTCTGATCACCCGGTATGCATTATTAAAGCGCATTTTTGGGAATACGGATCAGTATTTTATTAGAAAAGCTTAAAATTATCGATAATCTAACTCAAAATAGACTACAGCAGCATGCATGTGTACACTATACCAGAAAGCTTTCAGTGAAAATTTTAAGTCTCCAGCTATTGTAATTATTGAGATCTCAGCCGGACAGTCAGCCATAACGAATATTACGAATAACGTATTTTTTTAGCGCATTTTTTAAGAATTAAAAACCGTTTTGAATTACTTGTAGGGGAATGGTCCTAGAGTCCTGGAATTGTTTGCAGTAGGTAGCCTATACCTTGAAGGTGTGGTCAGACGGTCATTAAATTACGCTGTCTAAAAGGCCCCCCCCCCCGCGAATTATTTCCTGAGATGCTGTTTTCGAAAGTAAAACGTGTATAACTTTTACATACAACCAATTGGTCTCAGATTTTGCATACGCATGCCTTTAATGGTGCCAAATTAAACCTTATAAAATGGGGGGGGGGGGGAAAACACATGTATGTTGTTTTACCCTTCATGGTATTCTAATGAAAGATCTCATCGAAATAAATTGGTTTGTACAAACTATAACTTTCCCGTGCGACTCTTTTCCTCGGGAGCAGAATGTTTAGTACAGTCAAATTATAGAACCATTGCTTACGTTCGTTTATTTAATTTTATTTTGTCTTTATTTTCGAGTGGGCGGGGTTTCAGCCAAGGTTGCTCTATCAACCCACTATACATTTGCAAATATCCATGCCCGAACCCGGATTCGAACCAGGGACCCTTAGCACCACAGTTCAGCCTTAACTGAACTGCGCCACACGGGCCGGCGAAACAAACCAAACAAAAGTAAATGTTTCGAACACCAGTACATTCTTCGCGATTGAACTGGGTTATTCTTTTTTTTCGCAAAAATATCTGGTATTTTTAAAACGAATTTAAGTTTGTTTTTTGCTATTTATAATGAATATCTCCATTTGCGAACGTTATGGTGTAGTTTTAATAAATTGTTATAATGGTGGTAACGTTTACATTTGTTTTTTGCCTAGCGTGAATTTTATCACGAGGTCTAAACGTTTCACCAACTAAAGAACTACCTCGTGCTAACGTTTGGAATCCTTTGGAGTATGGAGTTTATACGTCGATGATGGCTATTATGATTATGATTATGATTATACCCAAATAAATTGAAACTAGCTGTCAGGTAAACTCCTGACTTAACTTTCCTACTACTTTTAATATGGTCAGAGCAATTATCTTTAGTCCATAGTATAACATGTAGAAAATGCCCTCAGGGGCCTCTGTTTTGACCCCACGCAAAAAATTTATGACTTTTTTGAAGAGCTCATCAAGACACATATTTTTTGTATATAACATTTTTCACCCTGATGCTTACTTTTCGAGAAAAATCCAAATTAAAAAAATAAAATAAACAGCAATTCAAAAACTAAAAACTCGCAAAAAACTGCAACGAACAAATTTGTAGTTTTTTATTCTACATTAGCCAGCGTATGCGAGAAAAATTTAAAAAAATTGTTTCAAGCCATTATGGCTCTTTTAAACTTTTGACACCCTCAACAACCATGAAGACGGTTATGGGCCGAATAGGACGTTTGCGATTCCCGCCTATCCGCTCCCCAAATCTAGTCCAAATCGGTTCAGGCGTTTTTGAGTTATCGTGTTCACCAAAAACGAACGACATAGGTACACATCCAGGCCCGTAGCAAGAATGAGGTAGCAGGGGTGGCCAGTATTTTTCTAGGTGAAGCTTAAGAAATTTTTGATAAAGGCTTCCCCTGTAATTTTTGTAAAGGATCCATCAACCGTAATTTCCAGTGGGGGCAAGACCACATAGCTACGGGCCTGTACACATCCACGCACAGACGTCAAGCTTAAAATTATTAAAATCACTATTTTCCTTTATACATGCTCTGTATGTAGTCGGAAGGTAAAAATGGTTAGAAATTAATTCCATTTCTACAACATTGCAAAACTATCTCAATTCTCAAAGAAATATGGTAAACCATATAAAAGGTAGGTATTCTGTATGTCACAAACTATCCGAAAGTGTCACGGAAAAGGTAAGATAAATGACATCAGAGATAAACGTTCTTGTAATCGACATTCCGTTACTTAGGTATCTAAATGTATATGTAGTAGAAAGTGCAATAATTTAAGTTAAAAATATGAAAGAAAGTTACTGACCGAATATGAGTTAAGTAAGTGGTAAGTTTAATATGCCCTCTACAGTCTATACAAGTATTTGGTAGAATACCTACACTAACCGAAATCGATGGATTTATTTTGCCCAAGAATTAACCAAAATGCGTTTTTGATTCTTACCTTTTTTTTGTCAATAATCTAATGAAATTGCCGTTCGTCCACCCGTCCATCTGTGTGAAGGATGAATTTAGGTATAGTAACGATTTTGAAGTGATGTTCAAATTTGATTAAAATCTTCATTTTTAACATAACCTGTATTGTGAAAATGTGAACACGCTATAGATAAACTATTGATTATTGGCAGATGTCGATTTGCTGCACAAAATTGCACTACCGTCCTATTAATCAATGATTAAACGATGACATTAACGGTAGGTAAATGAATTCATAGCGTTGATTTTTCACTTCTGCCAATTCCCATCTTTTTAGGGAGCAATCATTAAAAAAATGCTGTGATGATAAATAGCACCTTCGTCTGCAGGATCAAAGACTCAACGGACGAGTGCCAAGTTATTAGAGCACGAAATACGTGTAAATCACGCGAGTGGAAGGAAAAAAATGTATGTTTTGACTAGACATAATTTTTCTAATAAAAATTATTGGCAGACTACGCTTGTACCGGAGTCACGATCGGTCAACTAATCTTTTAAATTTATAAGTTTCCAGCCGAGACTTCGTAGCTAGATATGAAAATTATACGAAATTGTAATAATTCAGAAAATCTTAATAAATAAATTAGGACGGGCATATGAAATTAGTGCCTGCGTTTGCAATTAACGCCGCACGATTAGATTATTAATGCATCCGTGTTATGTTGCATGTAATTTGTTTAAAATGGCATTGAGCTAGTCTGAGAACTCCTTTCGTGGTACTAAGTAAAAATAGCTCGAAGAAATTTTGCGTGCGAACGGATTAAATTACAGAGGAATAAAATATAACTTTAAATTATTTTGGGTGAATTAATGATTCTCGTTTCATGTCATGCCAAGAGGCTTAACTACTTTATATTTACTAGAACATTTAACCTTGAATTTGAGTTCCTTTTTGATACTTCTATGGAGACATATGCAAATATCCCTACAATTTGGGTTACCTTCCACAAATCGCATTGTTACATACTGCATTTGTGTTAAGCAGCTTTTATGTATATAATTTTGCGTAGCTATAAATAGCCAAGTACAAGCAATTGGCAACAATAAAGCAGAGCGCGAAATAGCCATAAACGTCGGCTTATAATAAATGGCCATACCTTTCACTAAGGAATAAAATGAATTAAAAATAATGGGTTTGTTTGTAGATCGTTATCAAAACAAACTAGGCGTCGCGTTTACTTGGCTACCGAAGCTGTAAGAACTCAATTCCAGACACAAAGCACTCCCAAAGTGTTTATTTGCAGTTTCCAAATTTAAATT